GGCTGGAGAGAAGGAGAGGGTGGGCGGTTGGCATTCATCTGGGTTCATACCCCGATATTCTCGTGGTCCCCCTATCTGTACCTGTGACCTGATGTTCTTGGGGCCTCCCTGCCCATGTCCACCTCTTGTATACGTGGGGCTGGAGGATGGTGTCTTTGGGACAAGGGTCTCTCCAGAGGGACCTCCTGGGCAGTAACACCCCTTCCCACAGTCCCAGCGGGTGTTTGGGACATACTTCCGTGTGGGCTTCTACGGCACCCGCTTCGGCGACCTGGATGAGCAGGAGTTCGTGTACAAGGAACCATCCATCACGAAGCTGGCTGAGATCTCACACCGGCTGGAGGCATGTCCCAACAGTGGGGGTGGGGGGGTCCCAGGCTGCCCTGGGGTGGAGCAGGACTGCACCTGTGTGGCCCTGAGTCAGCCCCCTGTTCCCAGGAGTTCTACACAGAGAGGTTTGGGGAGGACGTGGTCGAGATTGTCAAAGATTCAAACCCCGTGGACAAGACCAAGCTTGACCCTCAGAAGGTGAGGGCCCCTCGCCATCCCAGGGGATGTCCACATCCTATATTCAGGGAGATTCTAGGTCCTTTTTCCTGGAGACCCTCAAATCCTATTCTCTGGAAAACTTCAAAGCTTATCTCCTTTGGGGACCCCAAATCCTATTGCTCAGGAGATTCCCTAACATCCAGTCATAGGGAGACCTGAGAGCCCCAAATCCAAAGCCCACCCCCCCAGACCCAAGGAGGCCCAAATCCCTTCCCCAGGAATGGGGTCCTGCAGGGAGACCGACAAGCCCCAGGTGTGTCTGTGCTGGGGCTGTGGGAGCCTCACACCCAAGCCCACTCCCCAGGCCTACATCCAGATCACTTACGTGGAACCGCACTTCGACACCTATGAGCTCAAGGACCGGGTAACCTACTTCGACCGCAACTATGGGCTACGCACCTTCCTTTTCTGCACACCCTTCACGCCGGATGGGCGCGCACATGGTGAGCTGCCCGAGCAGCACAAGCGCAAGACTCTACTCAGCACGGACCATGCCTTCCCCTACATCAAGACGCGCATCCGCGTGTGCCACCGGGAGGAGGTGCGCAGGGGTCCCGGTTCTGGGCTGGCGAAGTGAGGGGATCCCAAACCCAGCCAATGCAAGGCTAGACCACAACCAGACCAAAAGCCCCAGAGCTAGACGAAATGCACTGAGCCTGGCCCCCAAGCCTGCCAGACCCAGGCGGGAGGGAACCCTGTTCGTTACCCAGCCTCTTGGGCCCCTCTCATCCATAGCAGGCTGCAAGCTGTCATGTCTAGCCTAGGTCAGAACATCTTTGGGCCCCAGCCGGGGCATGCTGCGTCTATCTTCAACTTTTGCAGACAGTTCTCACGCCAGTGGAGGTGGCCATCGAGGACATGCAGAAGAAGACACGGGAGCTGGCCTTCGCCACTGAGCAGGACCCGCCTGATGCCAAGATGCTGCAGATGGTGCTACAAGGCTCCGTGGGGCCCACTGTGAACCAGGCACGGCTAGTGGGGGGGTGTCAGGCTGCCTGAAGGCACGCCAGGGGCCTTTCAGACACCATCAGGGGCCTCTCTCACCCCACAGGGTCCCCTGGAGGTAGCCCAGGTGTTTTTGGCAGAGATCCCAGAAGATCCGAAACTCTTCAGGCACCACAACAAGCTGAGGCTCTGTTTTAAGGACTTCTGCAAGAAGTAGGCTTGAGCCCCATATTACAGCACCCCCCAATCCCCACTATGGGTCCCTGCCTTACCTGAGCCCAGGACAGCGTCTCTCTCTGCACACCTGATCTCCATTATGGATTTGTTGCTTGGTTCTCATTAAGTGTACTCTACCCATCAGACCCCCTGTTATAGCTCGTGACCCCCCCTCAAGGACTCCCCTCCCATCAGCCTTGCTTTCTCCCGGAGGGCCAGCCCCTGAGCATCTCCTGTCATCTGGCCCTCAGGTGTGAGGATGCACTGCGGAAAAACAAGGCCCTGATCGGGCCCGACCAGAAGGAGTACCACCGGGAACTGGAACGCAACTACTCCCGCCTGCGGGAGGCTCTGCAGCCCCTGCTCACCCAGCGCCTGCCCCAGCTGCTGGCGCCGTCCACGGCCGGCCTCAGGTGCCTGGACCACCTCAGGGCTCTCCCATGAGCCTGGAGAAGGGAAAAGGGAGGCAGGCAAGGGTGGGAGCAGTCAGAATACATGTTCTCATGGCTGTGCAGATACACAGACATGAGCGTATGGGGGGCGGGTGTTGGGCTGCCATTTCAGATCCTGGCCAGGTCACTTCCCAGATGTGTGATGTCATGGTCCTGTCCTCAGTGTCCACATCTGTGAAATGGGCATGATTCCTATCTCCAGTGGTGGATTCCAGGAGAGAGTCTGTGAATCCAGGATCAGATCAGGGAGGACCTGAGAAGGCTCTTTGGACGGCGAGAAGGGAGAAAGTGGGCTGGGGAGCACTGTGCAGTTGAGGGTCCTTTAGCTGTGCTGACCCATCACATTCCTCCCCCAGGAACTCCTTAAACAGAGCTAGTTTCCAGAAGGCCGACCTCTGAACCCACACAGGGCCCAAAGTCACACACAGAGGAACCGGCACCCTGCCCTCAGCTGTCTCTGCCTTCCAGGGAGGCCCCCACTGCCCACTCAGCCATGGGGTGACTGCACTGCACACAGGGCTGTGCCCTCTGTCTGTCTGTTCCTGTCTGTGTGCACTGATGGTTCTAACCTTTTTTTAATTTAAAATGGTTTTTATAAGCAGCCTGTGTGGTGTGGTCCTTGGGGCTGGGTCACGTGTGCACAGTCTGTCCACACACCCTGGTTATCTGTGGACAGACTCTGAGAACTTATCATGTGCCAGGGACTCAGCAGTGACGGCAGATGCAAATTCCTGCCCTTGTGGGGCTGACATTCTAGTGGGGTAGGCAACACACAAAGAACACTTGTCACATGCCATGGGGCATAATAGTAACAATTACCAAGCCCTTGCTTGAGTGCCCAGATGCGTACTAAGTGGCTCCCAGAAAGACTCCACGCCATTTATGGGCCTCTTTGCCCGAGGGACCTCCATTGGCTCCTGCTTCAAAGTTCGAGAGATTCTCAAACCGCTATCAGGTAGGCGGCGTTCTTTAACTCCAGTTTACAGATGGGGAAACTGAGGCATCCAGCAGTTAGAGGCTTGGTGGGTCTAAGATTGGAGCCCAGGTGTGGCTGGCCTTGGAACCCAGACCTTATCCACTGGCTGTGCTGCCTCCCCACCCCGCGGGCGGTCACGCCACCCTGTACCAGGCCTGCGCTGGGCCGCTTCCAGCCCTGGGCCGCGGGGGGAGGGGTGACCTCCCGGGGCTGGGCCCCGGCCAGCCCCGCCCCCTCCGGCCCCCCGCAGCGGCCCAGCTGCAGCGGGCGGGGGCGGAGAGTGGCGAGGGAACCCTGCCCGGGGGGCTGCTGGGGACAGCGAGGTCGAGGGGACAAGGCGGGACACTCCAGCCCCAGCCCCTGACGCACGCGCGCTCACACACCTGCGGTCCAGGTGCGATCGCTCTCTCCTCGCAGGCCCCTCGCCGCCGCCCGAGCTTTGAGCGACCGCAGGGGGCGGGGCGGGGCCGCAGGGGGCGGGGCGGGGCCGCAGGGGGCGGGGCTCTCTCCCAGGGCCCGGCAGCCGGGCGGCGGCGCGCGGAGGACGCACGGGCGGCGGGACGCAGGGACGGCGGCGGCTGGAGCGCGCGAGGCGAGTAGCCCCCCGGGCGGGGTTGGGGTTCGAGTCCGGTTCAGGGTTAGAGCGTGGTCCCCACCCCACCCCCAACCGCGGGGCGCGACCTCGGTAGTCTGCACGGGCCGCTGCCTCCAGCTCCACCAGCTGTGTCCAAACTTTCCGGACTTGGAGTGTCTGAGTCTCCACGTCTCAGCCTCCTCCCGGTCTTTGACTCGGTCCCTGCTGTTCGCCCCCAGCCCCCGTCCTCTGTCAGCACCCCTCTCCCTGCCCCTGTCCCGCATCACTGGCAGACCCCTGCCCCTCACCCCGTGTCGGTCCCCTTCTCTACCGCCGTCCCCCCGCCCTGTCCCCTATCGCCTTCCTCCGCGCCCGGGCCGGAGCCAGGCCCCAGGCGGCGGGAAGGCGTTCGGGCGTCCGGCCGGGCTGGGCCTCGGCCTTTAGGCTGGGCCGGCGTGGGGAGGCAGCTGTTTTCCATTAGCCGGGACCCCGCAGGCTCCGCCCCCTCCATGCACGGGGCGGGGTCATCCTCACCCCCATCCTGCGGGTGGGGAGACCCCAGAGACTTCCAGATCGGTCTGGGAGGGGGATTTTAGGGAGACCCCGCCGGACATTCCAGCCTGCCTGGGACCCTTCCCTGAGCGGCCCCACCTGTCCCTTCTTGGAGTGTTTTGTCCCCCTTTCTGTCCTGTGCCCCATCCGTGTCTCCCTCTCCATCTCATAGGGGTTGAAGGAACTCAGCCACAGACACCCCAGCCCATCACCACACTCCCCCGCGCCCCTACTTGCTTTCTCGACCTGCAGTCACCCGCATACACGGAGGGCGGTCAGATTGCTGGAGACTCTCAGACCTCAGTCTCACTGTCTGGGAAATGGGCAGAGGGCTGTGGCGTGGAGAGTGAGGGTGACTCAGTGGGCAGTGGGGGAATCTGCCAGGCTTAGGTTCAAATCCATACCAGCCACTTCCCCTCCAGTGACCCTGGGAAGTCACTGTACATTTCTGTGTCCCCAGATTCCCCATCTGTAGAACAGGGCGGTAGCTATGTAGCTGGTGGTGGCGTTGTGATCATCGAATGACTTGCCAGGTTGATTAAAATAATTATTACTACTATTCACCCCACTCCTCTCCACCTCCAGAGGCTCGCACAAGGCCACCCAATCCCGTTCCCTGCCTTCAGTCTTGTCTCAGGGCTCCAGAAGATACTTTTGATCACCTCCGGTGTGCAGGGGAGAGTCTCCAGGCTGGTGGAAAACCGAATTTGCTACGTTCGGTGTCTGTGTGTTCCAGGTTGAAAGAGAGACGTATAAGAGAGACGTGTGTTCGAAGTGCAGAGAGAGAGGGAGAAAGAAGTGGAGAGAGACGCAGAGACGGAGAGGAGGAGAGACAGAGAGACATGGAGAGAGACTAAGCAAGGGTTGCACTGGGTGAGAGGCAGGAAGAGCTCAGCTGCCCCTGGAGTCCCAGCCCCGCCTTCATGCCCGGCAGGTGCCCCACCTGGCCCATCCTCCCAGGTACCCACGACCCTGGCACCCACAGGCCAGAACGGGTTCTCTGTGATTGGGGGGACGGGCTGGGGCCTCTGAAGCAGGGGTGGAAGTCAGACAGCAGAAAGGACTGCCCAAGCGCAGGCCGAGGACTGGGGACTGTCGGGTCCTGGCTAGCCTCCAGGGTGGAGGGGGGTTAGTGAGAGGCCCTGGTTGTCCCTCCTCTTTGCAGCCTCCAGGCACCCCCTCTTGCTTCCTCTGCCCCCCACCCCCATGACTTCCTGGGCCACCGCCCGGCCTACTATCCCCACTGTGCCCCCAAGCCGGACACGTCTTGGGGGGGCAGGAAGTTCTCGTGTAGCCCAGCAGCGAAACTGTTTATTTTTAGAGAAAATTGTTTCCATAAAGGGGAAAGGCTTTGCTCCTCACTGCTTCCCCCCAACTTTCCCTACGCCCCGACCCCAGCTGCTTTGGGGTCCCCTACCCTGACCTCTGTCTCTCTTTTTGCCCCTGCCTCCTGGAATCCTGGCAGGAAGGCCGTCCGCCCGTTACCTCTCCAGCCCTCCAGCCACCTCAGCCCCCATCTGTCCCCACAGTCAACTCCTGGCCTGAGCTGAGGGGGGGGTGCAGGAAGGGTGGGGCCTATCGGCCCTGGGGCCCCCCAGTCCAGGGGGTCTGTGGAGGCGGGGCTGTGGGAACAGCTGGAGCCTGTCCAGGGGCTGGACAGATGTGCAGGCGGGCCATAAGGTTTGGTTTCTTTGTTCCAGACTGCGGCCCCCCTGCGCCCCCCTTTCCACAGCCAGGCTGGGTGTAGGCCCACGAGAGCATCCCGGTCCAGGGAAGGGGGGGTGTTGGTAGGGGGACAGCTGTAGAGGGGGGTGGCCCTCCTCCCCTCCCCCGCAGTCTCCCGCTGACTGTGGACTCCAACGCCCCCTCGCCCCAGGGAAGCCTCGGCCTGTGCTGCAGGCGATCTGACTCCCAGTCCTCCAGGTGGTTGAGGAGCACCTGCAGACCAGAGGATGGCCCAGGTCCTGCATGTACCAGCCCCCTTCCCAGGTCAGGGGTCGCAGGGGGAAGAGGGCCCTGCCCAGGGGCTGGAGGTGGGGGGTTACCACCCTGTCCTGGAGCGGAGAAGGGTCCCAGCCTGTGCTGGGGAGGGGAGGGACGCGATCCTGCCCTGGGGTCTGAGGGTGGAGGGAGGGACAGTTTGGCCTTGGAGAGCATGAGTGGGGGTCACAGTCTTTCAGGTAAGGGGGTTGGCTAGAGTGGAGAGACAGGCCCTGTCCTGGGGAGTTGTGGGTAGGCATAGGCCCGTCCTGTGAGGGTCTGAGGGGGTGATTGGGCCTTGCTGCAAGTGGGGCCTCTGAGACTAGAAATACACTGGTACGTGCAGGACCCATTCTTTGGGCAGATAAACCGTGACTCTCCGGGAACATCAGCCTTCACCCTGAGATGGGGACAGCAGAGTTCAGAGGCAGTGGCATTTCTCCCCACCCCAGGGACCCCTGGCCCAGCCTCCCCGCCGGCCTTCCCTGCCAAGGAGCCTGACCCGCCCTACTCCGTGGAGACGCCCTACGGCTACCGCCTTGACCTGGACTTCCTCAAGTATGTGGACGACATCGAGAAGGGCCACACACTACGGCGCGTGGCCGTGCAGCGGCGGCCCCGTCTGGGCTCCCTGCCGCGTGGCCCCGGCTCCTGGTGGACGTCCACCGAGTCCTTGTGCTCCAACGCCAGCGGGGACAGCCGCCAGTCAGCCTACTCCTATTGCGGCCGTGGCTTCTACCCACAGTACGGTGCCCTGGAGGCCCGCGCCGGCTTCAACCCGCGTGTGGAGCGCACGCTGCTGGACGCCCGTCGCCGCCTGGAGGACCAGGCGTCCGCACCCACCAGCCTGGGCTCCCTGACCCCCAGCGCGGCAGGTTCAACCAGCTCGTTGGTGGGCGTGGGGCTGCCACCCAATACGCCACGGGGCTCGGGACTGTCCACACCAGTGCCACCCAGCGCTGGGCACCTGGCCCACGTGCGGGAGCAGATGGCAGGTGCCTTGCGAAAGCTGCGGCAGCTGGAGGAGCAAGTGAAGCTGATCCCCATGCTCCAGGTGAAGCTGTCGGTGCTGCAGGAGGAGAAACGACAGCTCACGGTGCAGCTCAAGAGCCAGAAATTCCTGGGCCATCCCGCAGGGGCCCGGGGCCGCGGCGAGCTCTGCCTGGACCTTCCCGAGCCCCCCGAGGGCCTGGCAGCGCTCGGGACCCGGAGCGTGGGCACCTGGGTCCGTGAGCAGGACTTGGGCATGCCCGATGGGGAGGCAGCCCTGGCCGCCAAGGTTGCCGTGCTGGAGACCCAGCTCAAGAAAGCGCTCCGGGAGCTGCAGGCAGCTCAGGCCCAGCAGGCCGATGCCCAGCCCCAGGCCTGGCCACCGCTGGACAGCCCCGTCCGCGCAGACACTGTCCGGGTGGTGGAGGGCCCACGAGAGGTGGAGGTGGTGGCCAGCACCACGGCTGGGGCCCCTGCCCAGAGGGCCCAGAGTCTGGAGCCCTACGGGGCAGGGCTACGGGCCCTGGCAACACCTGGAGGGGCTGAGAGTCCTCCCGTGTTCCGTACCCATGAGGTGGTGGAGACGGTGTTCCCAGCACCCACTGCGCCTACTGGCAGCACCCACCTGGTGAAGAAGATCAGCATCACGGAGCGAAGCTGCAATGGGGCAGCAGGTGAGCCACAGCGGGCAGGGGGCAATGGTGGACGGTCCCTCTTTTTTCCTCTGAACACCAGGGTCCAGCCCCAGCCCCTAGCCTTCCACCAGACAGGCCACTACAGCTCTGGGAGCCCATCTCCTCATCTGAAAAAAGGGAACAATTATGCCTCTGGCTCAGTGCTGTAGGGACCCTGTGGAGTAAATGAGTATCTAAATGTGTATCTGTACATCTAACATGTAAGAGTCCAGAAAACAGGAGGTATTGGGGGGAGGTATTCCCCAGGTTTTCTGGGCAAAAAGCCCTCCCTGTCTATTCAATAAGTGGCAGGAACCAATCTCAGACCATTTTAAGCAATGAAAACGTAATGTGTTGTTCCTGTAACTTAGTGACAACTTCAGGTACAGCTGGATCCAGGTGCTCACATAGCAGGAATCTCTCTTTCTCTTCCTCTGAGCACCCTGGAGGAGGCTTTTCTCTTAGGCAAGTGCTCTAGGTATCTGACCTTCCAGCTCAGTGGGAAGAGAGCCCCTCAGTCCAAATAGCACCAATAAAAATCCCGGGAGTGGTGCTCATTGGCTGGCATGGGTAACGTAAGCCAATCACTGAGCCAGTCACAATGTCCCTCACTGCCCAACCCCAGATCCTGGGGGTAGAGGAGCCCCCCCTAAATCCTATGGCCCTTCAGGGAGGAAGGGGGTTCTTCCTGGAGGAAGTGCTGAGTCCAGTCCTCATGCCAGGAAAGGGGATGTGGGATGTGCAGAGTGGCAGCTGCCCTAGGCCCCCTGGGAGAAGTTACCAGGATGATTCATAATAATAATGACAGCTGTTCTTTCTCAAGCACCAGCCGGGTGCTATGCTAAGTGTTTCGCCCACAGAAGAGCTAAAGAGGGTGGGCTGTGCAGCCAGGCCACCTGGGTCCAAATTCCACTTCTTGCTGTCTGAGTGACTCCACCTCTCTGGTCTCCGCATCCCTGTCTGTGAAGTGGCATGACAGTGGTTCTAGCACTCTTGTGAATTAGCACACGCAGTAAGTGTTCAGCCACTGCTTATTGCTGCCTCTGCTGCTAGTTTTCAGGTCAACTCTGTTTATGGCTGGGGAAACTGAGGCCTAGGGAGACTCTGCACTCACCCTGTGTCCCAGGAAGTGGCCAGGGAAGTGACCAAACCAGGATCTAAACCCAGGTCAGCCTGAACCTGCAGCCGGGCTCCCAGATGGGGCCCAGGTCCTCATCCCGCCTATCAGAGCCCTGTGCAAGGCCCAGAGGGCGCAGGCCGGAGGGTGGGGACCCAGCTGTGTTTTCTTGCTTGCCATGTTGTTCCTGGCCAGCTGCAGACACCACCCTTCTGTTCTGTATCCATCCCAGACACCCGGCCCTGTGACGCTGGCCCCCAGCCAGGCGCTGTGCCCAGACCAGCCAGCCTTAGGATCTCTGAGAGGCAACCTCCATTCCAGACAAGCCTCTCAGGGCAGCCATGGGGCCTTCTGCCTGCAGAAAACGCAGACATAATGATGTCCCCACGCTATGCATGCTGCCGCCCCGAGAAGGTCCCCCTTGTGGCTCACTTAACTCCCTCTTGCTGCAGCCAGCCCCTATCTCTGCCCTGCTTGAACAGAACTGGAGAGTGCTAATTCATTTCAATGACTTATTCAGCAAACTGTTACCGAGTGCCTGCTTTTTATCAGATTCTCCTAGGCGTTGGAGACACAGCAGTGAATGAGACAGACAAAATTTGCTGCAATAAGCAAACGAGACCTCAGTAGATACATGAAGAAATATAATTTCTGAGAATACACGTTTGAAGCAAATGAAATGGGGCCATGGGGTGGGTAGCAGTTGGATGGCATGGTGGCCTGGGTTCAGATTCTGGTTTCTCTGCTCCCTAGCTCACTGCCCCTGAGCAGGCTATTTAACCGCTCTGTGCCACGTTTGCAGATTGGTCCTGACAGCCCAATGTCACTAGATCGATATGAAGCTTAAACATGTCTATTTGTATCAAGTGTTCAGTGTGGCACCAGGCACATAGTAGGTGCCTGTCAGGGCTGGGTCCTGCAGGGCTCATGGACTGGGGAGAAGCAATATGGGAAATGAGATAGATAGTATGAGGACTTGACCAGTGTTGGCACCATGTATTTGTTCAGGTTTGTTGAGCTCCATTGGGTAGGTCCAGAGGGCTCCTTGGAGGAGGATGCAGGCGGAGCCCAACCTCTGACTTCTAGAATTCTCTCAGTGCTATAGAAGGGTGGGGAAGGTGAGAGACAGCCTTCCCCTCGGGCTGGGAAAGGCGGGTGCGGCCAGCAGAGGCCTGGAAACCCCACTAAGCCCCATCCCCCTGCCTCTCAAAGGCATCCCCAAGAGAGAAAAGGGCAGCCAGGCTCTTGCATCTGACTTTGAAGTTTCCTCTGCTCTGGTCTGAAATGTATTCCTATGAAAGCAATTCATACTCTTTTCGAAAGGCTTGGGAAGTACAGAAAAATCTCAAACACAAAACCCCCAGAAACCCACCACGACACACATGCAGCTGCTGTCAACCCTTCTGTCCTTCCAAGTTCCTTAATGCAGAAAATAATGTATATCTTTTTCAAGTCTGGCAACACAGAGCGGATGGAGTCTGTTGTGGTTGCTTTACTTTATTCTTCAAAGCACTTAGGCAACCCTTGCTCTTTTTTGTATTTTTTGTATTTTAATTCATTTACATCCCAAGCACCTCTAGAAGGTAGGTGCTGTGTTTATCCCCATTTTACAGACGAGGAAACTGAGGTGGAGAGGCTGCCCACAGTTTTTGAAACCAGGATTTAAACTCTGTCGTAGAGTTTTTGATTGAATGGACCGCAGGGGCATTTGTATAGTTATAACGTCTTGGAACCGGGATGTTATTTCTGTGGAAACCCAGCTGACTCATGAACGGTGCCAGCCCTGGGCAGTCAAATACCCACGTACATCTTTTGACTCTCTAAAAATGTAGCCGCTACTACTAGTTGATCAGAAGCCTCAGCGGTAACATGAATAGTCATTTATTGAAGACAACTCAACATAATGTAACATGAATAGTCATTTTATTGAATAATACATTTATTGAATAATACATTTATTGAAGAAAACTCACCTGTAAGTGGAACCGTGCAGTTCAAACTCATGTTGTTTGAGGGTTGACTGTATACTTAATACACCAAAAAATTGCACATGTCTAATGGGTACATTCTGGTGAGTTCGCTCCCTCTAAGCAGGTACAGGCGATATGTAAATGAAGGAGATGGCTGTGTGAAATTCAGTTGCATGTAGTTTTCACGTCCCAAGTTAGAACCCTTCTTTTAACTCTTTTCCAGCCATTTGAAAATGTAAAACCCAGGGCCAGGGCCATAGTCTCAGCCTCTACTCTGCCATTCACCGCCTTCCCCTCCTTTGAATGTCCTTCCTTGCCATGCACCTTCCAGTAGCTTCCATGGGTATTTGGGTGTCCTTGAAAAATATGCCCAGTGTGTGTTTAATTTCCTTAAATGGTGTTATTGTGCTTTAGGGAAAAAAAAAATCTTACTCTGTTTCTTATTTTTTCTCCTCTCTGCACACTATTTTTGAGCTCTCCACCCCCACATTTGTAAATCTGGCTTGTCACTTTTAATGACTACATAGATTTCTGCCTTAGGTATGTGCTATGTTTTTCTTACCCAGTCCCCTCTTGGTGGGCACCTGGATTACTCCCAACTCCTGGCTGCCTTCAGTAGTGCCGGGGACATCCTCACATGTCCCCTCCCATGGGGATGGTGAATCACAGGGAATGTACGACTTCACTCCAAGGTTTGTCTGATCCTCTCCAGAAAAGTTCTCCCTGTCTGTAACTCCCACCAGCCACACTTGGGTCTGAGACGCCCATTTCCCCACGTCGCCACCAACATGCAGTTGTATCTGTCTTTCTAATTGCCCGCTGATGCTGGTGCAAAGTGGCTTCTCCTTGCTGTTTTCGTTTGCACGTCTTTGATTTCTGGTGGCTTTGGGCATCCCCATGTACGTTTAATAAGATTCCTCTGTGAATCACTTACTTGTAACCTTTGTCCGTTTTCCTTAGGGCAGTTTTCAGGCGTTCCTGGCATATTCCAGAATAGGGGTTGGCAGACTACACACAGCCTCTGGGCCAAATGCAACCAGCTGCCTGTTTTTATATGGCCTGCAAGCTAAGAATGATTTTGATGTTTTTAAGTGGGTGAGCAATATGAAAAGAAGAATAACGTTTTGTGACATGAGCAGAATTATGAAATTAAAATTTATTAACACGAAGCCACACCCGTACATTTACATACCATCTAGGGTGGCTTTTGTGCTACTTGCCCCTGAGATCTTATGTCCCACACAGCTGAAAATACTTCCTATCTGGCCTGCTACAGAAAATGTTTGTTGACTCCTGTTTTGAAAGATAATCCTTTGCCCATTTTTGGCACTATGAATTCTGTCGATGAGCTTTGTCTATGAGGTTTTTTTTCCAACCAGAAATAATCTCGTTGGATATAAACTCATTGGGTTTTTCTTTCATTTTTTTTCTTGTTTTCTTGAGATATAATTGACATATAACATTCATTTAAGGTCTATAAATCAGTAATTAGATATTTGTATGTATTGCAAAAAAATGACCAAAATAAGTCTAATTAACATCTATCACCTCACAGAGTTACAAATATTCCTTTCTTGTGATGACTACTTTTCAGGTCTGCTCTCTTAGCAGCTTTGGAATTTACAGCACAGTATAGTTAACTATAGTTACCATGCTGTGTATTCCATCACCAGGACTTATCTTACAGCTGAAGTTTGTACCCTTTGATTACCTCAGCCATGTCCCCCCACCCCCTGCCTCTGGTAATAACCACCAGTCTGTTCTCTGTATCTATATGAGTCCGTTTTCTTTCAGTTCCACAGGCAGGTGAGATCACTTGTGTTTCTCCTATTATGGTTTGTGCTTTGAGGAAGTTTTAAAGGAATCTTTCGCCTTCCTGAGGCCCCTGATATCCTGCTACCTTTTCCTCCTGTAGCTTTATAGCTGTACCTTCGTACTGATTCTTCAGAGTTCATTTTCTGTGTTACGGTGTGAGGTAGGGATCCAGCTTGATTTTGCTTGGGTAGAGAAAGATGCCTTTCCCAGCATCAAACCGCAGAGCCCGCCCTTTACCCCTGCTTTGTGGGAACCCCCGCAGTTTCCTCCTATGAGGTCTGTGCTGGCTCTGTTCCTTCAGCTCTTTCTTCCTTCACAATGCCTGCTGTTTTGACTATTGTAACTTTGGAATATACTTTACTTTCTCCTAGGCCAGGCTCCCCTCTGCCCTTTTCTATAAAATTGCCTTAGCTGGTCATAGCTTTTTGTTCGTCCATATAAACTGTGGTACCCGTTTGCCCCTCCCCCCCAGTGGAATAACAGTAATACATATTACCCATTTTATTTTCTTTACTGATTTTTTAGCATCAAAGCATCTGACCTCATCCTGGCAGCTTTGCAGGCAGGGCCTTCTTTTTCCCTTGGGGCAGAAATATCCACTTCTTCCTTTTTATTTTTTCACTGTTAAAAAATTGGGGTTAACAACATACAACATGAAACGTACCATCTCAACCATTTTTGAGTGTCCAGTGTCATTAAGTGCATTTGCATTTTTGTGCCGCCGTCTCCATCCTCCATCTCCAGAACTTTCTCATTGTCCCAAACTGAAGCTCTGTCTGCATGAAACACTAGCTCCCCACCCCCTCCCCGAGCCCGTGGCCCCCGCCATTTCTTTTCTGTCTCTGTGAATCTGACTCCTGTGGGGCCTCCTGCAAGTGAGGTCAGACGGGATGTGCCCTTTTGTGACGGGCTTATTTCGCTGAGCATAATGTGGCTTCGTCTGAATTTTTCTTGACCCTCCCAGTTGTTTGGAGCCCTGAGTCTGGGGCAAACGTGTTGCTGATGAACTGGTCCGTCTGCCTCCTGACACATTCTACTTGGCCACATAATTTTTTGTTTATTTGATGTGAATTTATTGACAGGGTTTTAAAAAACAAAACAAAACAGGAGATTCACATAAAAACCAGCGTTTGCTTTTGCTTTTGGTTCCCCAGGGGGAGTCTGAGCTACAGCTCTGGAATTGGCCTGGCCCGGCCACACCCTGGGCTGGGGAGCCGTCAGACATCCTTAAGGGCCAAGTGTCTCATCGCTCTAAGTCCTTTGCTCGTGTGGTATGTTTACTCCCCATTCTTAAGTTGAGCATCACCCTCGGACTTGAGGAAGTTGTTACATTGTATATCAGAAAAAGTTTTAACCTTTAAAGGGAATTAAACAGACTTGGTTTGTTTAAGGGGCCTGGGGCCAATGGCAGGAAGGAGGTGTCCCAGGGAAGCGGTGACATGGAAGCCACTTGGCCTGGGGTGTGGGGACCTCAGTGATTCTGAGACAAAGACAACCGCTCAGAGTGGCAGCTGGACTTCTGTCCCTGGCTGGTAATGCAGGGCTGGAGCTCCCTGCCACCGCCATTCATGCCCAGGGGGGCGGTGGGCATCCTTGGAGCTGGTGGCCACAAAGTCACCTTTGTCCTCAGACCAACCTGGTTGGGTTTTTTTCCCAGTTGTGATAAAAATATATATAACGTGAAAGTTACCATCTTGCTATTTTTAAGTGCCCCGCTCGGCAGCACGAAGCCCATTCATATCGTTGAAACCACCCCGACCGTCCCTGTCCAGGACCTCCGCGTCTTGCCAAACTGAAGCTCTGCCTGCTAGGGTTCGAATTTTTATTTTCTCGTAGCACTTATTGTTTCTTTTCCCTAATTATTAAAGTAACACCTGCATCATGTTAAGAAGGAAGCCGGACCCAATGTGATAACCCACAACACAGGCCTGCTTTTATTTATTTATTTATTTATTTAAAAAATGTTAAGATGGTCCATTTTAATTAAAATTTTGTAACTACAGTATGTTATAAAACAGTAGTACAACAGGATTCATTCACTTATTCATTCAACAAATATTCACTGAGTGCTTGCAGGGCTGGGCTCTGCTTCTAGTAATAAAAATAAAGCGATGGAGCACGCAGACAAGGCCCCTGTGCTCACCAAGCTGGCGTTCTAGTAGATTCCACTTTTAAACAGAAATGTCTAGGAAATGGTCTTGGGACTTGGAAAACCAGATATCAAATGATGGCATCTTTAAGTGGATGGGATTATATTTATCTAATGTTCTTTTCCATTTTGATTTTCCTATATAAGTAGGCATTGCTTTTATTTAATAAATTTATTTACTTTTTATTAAGGTATCATTGATATACACTCTTATGAAGGTTTCACATGAAAACCATTGTGGTTACTACATTCACCCATATTATCAAGTCCCCCCCATACCCCGTTGCAGTCACTGTCCTTCAGTGTAGGAAGATGCCAGAGTCACTACTTGTTGTCTCTGAGCTACACTGTCTTCCCCATGACCCCCCACACACCTGTGCACCAATCATAATACCCCTCAATCCCCTTCTCCCTCCCTCCCCACCTGCCCTCCCCAACCCCTCCCCTTTGGTAACCACTAGTTCCTTCTTGGAGTCTGTGTGTCTGCTGCTGTTTTGTTCTTTCAGTTTTGCTTCATTGTTATACTCCACAATTGAGGGAAATCATTTGACACTTGTCTTTCTCTGCCTGGCTTATTTCACTGAGCATAATGTCCTCCAGCTCCATCCATGTTGTTGCAAATGGTAGGATTTTTATTTTCATGGCTGAGTAGTACTCCATTGTATGTACCACGTCTTCTTTATCCATTCATCTACTGATGGATACTTAACACAGGCCTGCTTTTATAAAAAATCATAACATTATTAAGTCTCAGCAACATATAGTCTACAAGGCTCTTGAATTAACAGATAATCCTTGTGTGCTGTTGGCAACATAGGTGCTATCCTAAGCCCTTTCCTCCAAGTTACTATCTTTAATCTACACAATAATACCATGATGTGGGAAATCATTTGCCTAAAGCACAGAGAGGTTAAGTGATTTACCTAAGGTCACACAGCTTGTTCATGGGAGATTCAAGTCCCCACTGGGACCACTCAGCTTAATGGTGAGCAAACCTTGTTTCCAGTTAACACTCAGTATGGTGATGTTGGAGGGGAGGTGACCAGCAGGATCGTGGAGCACGTCACAGGGTCCTACCTGTTCCTGACCAGCAGCTGGGGCAGGCAGCAGACCCAGGGTTGGAATCAGAGCCTGCCTTCCATTTGCTGGGTGTCCTTGGGCAACCCTCTGTGCCTCAGTTTCCTCATCTGTAACAGTCAGACTCTTGGGCTGGGGAGATTTGGTGAAGGAACACAAGCATCAGCTCTCAGAGCACCTGGCCCGGGATGTGTGACCCCAAGGAGGTGGCTGTTTCAGTTGTTCCCCACAGAAACAAGCTCCCCTTGTGCTGCCTTCACAGGTCCCCCACAGGCTCCTGCAGAGTCGTCCTCATCACCCCGAGGGTCTGCAGAGGCCCCCGTGGCCCAGCCCGAGAAGAACGCAGGTGGGGTGCCCGCCCAAGACACCACCAGCAGGGAGCCCACCAGGCAGGCAGCCTCATATGAGGCAGAAGAGGCCAGGGGTGCAGGTAAGCGGAGGTGCCCACCAGGGGGATGGGGCACCAGAGGCTAGGCCCAAGGCCAGGCTCTGGGGGACTCACACCACCCTCTCCCCAGGTGGGCCCCAGGTGGGCGCGCAGTCCATCATGAGGCGCAAAGAGGAGCCCGCCGACCCCACGACCAGTTGGAGGAGCCCCCAGTTTGTGGGGGTCAATGGCGGGTGAGAGCAGCCCCCGCCCCCCACGCCCACCCTCTCCTCAGCTTCTCCCCTCCTGCCTGTGGCTTGATCGTGACCAGGGACCCTGTCCAAGCCCCTTGCTTTGGCTCGTTTATTTAACCAAAGCTCAGTAGGCAGATGAGGGCCTGGGTCTCCCTGCCTTGCCGGAGCTCCTCTGGGGCAGGGGCCTGTCCCCGTGGCCCCAGAGCTGGGGTGGTGGCCGCTGCACCACATCGCTCCTCAGCAGGTGCTGGGCTCGGCGCCCTGCCCCGACCAGGCTTCCGACCCAGTGGGACCTCGGGCACCAACGGGAGCAATGATGGGGGACGCTCAGGCCGTGGGGGGCCCTTGGGGAAGGCCATGTGTGCCCAGGGAGGCCACCCAAGGAGGGGACGTGTGTGTTGCAGGAGCTAGCGTGGTGAAGGGCATAGGGTGGGAGGGCCTGCCTCGTGGAGGGCACGGGAGCGCGGGGCTCAGGGACGGTGAGGGGCCTCGAATGCCGTGCCCAGAAGCTGAGACTTTGTCCAGAGGTAGCAGGGAGCATGAGGGAGTACCCCGACCGTCCCTGTCCAGGACCTCCGCGTCTTGCCAAACTGAAGCTCTGCCTGCTAGGGTTCGAATTTTTATTTTCTCGTAGCACTTATTGTTTCTTTTCCCTAATTATTAAAGTAACACCTGCATCATGTTAAGAAGGAAGCCGGACCCAATGTGATAACCCACAACACAGGCCTGCTTTTATTTATTTATTTATTTATTTAAAAAATGTTAAGATGGTCCATTTTAATTAAAATTTTGTAACTACAGTATGTTATAAAACAGTAGTACAACAGGATTCATTCACTTATTCATTCAACAAATATTCACTGAGTGCTTGCAGGGCTGGGCTCTGCTTCTAGTAATAAAAATAAAGCGATGGAGCACGCAGACAAGGCCCCTGTGCTCACCAAGCTGGCGTTCTAGTAGATTCCACTTTTAAACAGAAATGTCTAGGAAATGGTCTTGGGACTTGGAAAACCAGATATCAAATGATGGCATCTTTAAGTGGATGGGATTATATTTATCTAATGTTCTTTTCCATTTTGATTTTCCTATATAAGTAGGCATTGCTTTTATTTAATAAATTTATTTACTTTTTATTAAGGTATCATTGATATACACTCTTATGAAGGTTTCACATGAAAACCATTGTGGTTACTACATTCACCCATATTATCAAGTCCCCCCCATACCCCGTTGCAGTCACTGTCCTTCAGTGTAGGAAGATGCCAGAGTCACTACTTGTTGTCTCTGAGCTACACTGTCTTCCCCATGACCCCCCCACACACCTGTGCACCAATCATAATACCCCTCAATCCCCTTCTCCCTCCCTCCCCACCTGCCCTCCCCAACCCCTCCCCTTTGGTAACCACTAGTTCCTTCTTGGAGTCTGTGTGTCTGCTGCTGTTTTGTTCTTTCAGTTTTGCTTCATTGTTATACTCCACAATTGAGGGAAATCATTTGACACTTGTCTTTCTCTGCCTGGCTTATTTCACTGAGCATAATGTCCTCCAGCTCCATCCATGTTGTTGCAAATGGTAGGATTTTTATTTTCATGGCTGAGTAGTACTCCATTGTATGTACCACGTCTTCTTTATCCATTCATCTACTGATGGATACTTAACACAGGCCTGCTTTTATAAAAAATCATAACATTATTAAGTCTCAGCAACATATAGTCTACAAGGCTCTTGAATTAACAGATAATCCTTGTGTGCTGTTGGCAACATAGGTGCTATCCTAAGCCCTTTCCTCCAAGTTACTATCTTTAATCTACACAATAATACCATGATGTGGGAAATCATTTGCCTAAAGCACAGAGAGGTTAAGTGATTTACCTAAGGTCACACAGCTTGTTCATGGGAGATTCAAGTCCCCACTGGGACCACTCAGCTTAATGGTGAGCAAACCTTGTTTCCAGTTAACACTCAGTATGGTGATGTTGGAGGGGAGGTGACCAGCAGGATCGTGGAGCACGTCACAGGGTCCTACCTGTTCCTGACCAGCAGCTGGGGCAGGCAGCAGACCCAGGGTTGGAATCAGAGCCTGCCTTCCATTTGCTGGGTGTCCTTGGGCAACCCTCTGTGCCTCAGTTTCCTCATCTGTAACAGTCAGACTCTTGGGCTGGGGAGATTTGGTGAAGGAACACAAGCATCAGCTCTCAGAGCACCTGGCCCGGGATGTGTGACCCCAAGGAGGTGGCTGTTTCAGTTGTTCCCCACAGAAACAAGCTCCCCTTGTGCTGCCTTCACAGGTCCCCCACAGGCTCCTGCAGAGTCGTCCTCATCACCCCGAGGGTCTGCAGAGGCCCCCGTGGCCCAGCCCGAGAAGAACGCAGGTGGGGTGCCCGCCCAAGACACCACCAGCAGGGAGCCCACCAGGCAGGCAGCCTCATATGAGGCAGAAGAGGCCAGGGGTGCAGGTAAGCGGAGGTGCCCACCAGGGGGATGGGGCACCAGAGGCTAGGCCCAAGGCCAGGCTCTGGGGGACTCACACCACCCTCTCCCCAGGTGGGCCCCAGGTGGGCGCGCAGTCCATCATGAGGCGCAAAGAGGAGCCCGCCGACCCCACGACCAGTTGGAGGAGCCCCCAGTTTGTGGGGGTCAATGGCGGGTGAGAGCAGCCCCCGCCCCCCACGCCCACCCTCTCCTCAGCTTCTCCCCTCCTGCCTGTGGCTTGATCGTGACCAGGGACCCTGTCCAAGCCCCTTGCTTTGGCTCGTTTATTTAACCAAAGCTCAGTAGGCAGATGAGGGCCTGGGTCTCCCTGCCTTGCCGGAGCTCCTCTGGGGCAGGGGCCTGTCCCCGTGGCCCCAGAGCTGGGGTGGTGGCCGCTGCACCACATCGCTCCTCAGCAGGTGCTGGGCTCGGCGCCCTGCCCCGACCAGGCTTCCGACCCAGTGGGACCTCGGGCACCAACGGGAGCAATGATGGGGGACGCTCAGGCCGTGGGGGGCCCTTGGGGAAGGCCATGTGTGCCCAGGGAGGCCACCCAAGGAGGGGACGTGTGTGTTGCAGGAGCTAGCGTGGTGAAGGGCATAGGGTGGGAGGGCCTGCCTCGTGGAGGGCACGGGAGCGCGGGGCTCAGGGACGGTGAGGGGCCTCGAATGCCGTGCCCAGAAGCTGAGACTTTGTCCAGAGGTAGCAGGGAGCATGAGGGAGTCCCGCTCACAGTGGGACCAGGTCCGATTCAGGGACGCCTGTGTGAGGGGCAGAGCGTGAGCAGTACCGAAGGGCAGAAGGAAAGGTAGTAGGCCTTCCTGGCCCCCCAGCGCCATCGGAGCCGCCGCTAGTATTTATCAGGCACTGAACTGACTCCGCACCAGGAGCTGTGAGCTGCATTCCTGCAGTTCCTGAGAGCGGTGCTGCCACCAGCCCCGTTGCACAGATGCGTGACTGAGGCCCGGAGAGGTCAGGTAGTCAGAGCTCCATGTCCCGCCTCTGCCACGTCCTGTTCTTCCTTTCCAGGTATGAGTCCTCCTCCGAGGACTCCAGCACAGCAGAGAACTTCTCCGACAATGAGAGCACAGAGAATGAGGCCCCAGAGCCAGAGCAGAGGGTTCCAAGTGTGGCTGAAGCCCCCCAGCTCAGGCCCTCGGGGATGGCGGCCGCCAAGACCAGTGGAGAGGAGTGCCAGCTGTCTCAGGAGTCTCCGCGGGCGCCCGCAGCTGAGGGTGCGTCAGGATCAAGTTCGGAGGAAGAGATCCGGTCAGTTTTCTGTGTGGGAGGTTTTCCAGCAGGGCTGCATCGGGGACCTCTGCCTCCAACCCCATGATTCATGCCTTTGGAGGGAACCGCCCATCAGTCATGCACACATTAATCTGAATTAGTGAACCAGCACCTTTTTCCTTCTGGTGATCTGAAGGTCTGAAGGCTTTGATAAAGGGCCTGATGGGGACAATTTGGGCTGTTGAGTTTAGGATTTGGGGGGTAGGCAGAATTTGTCCATAAGCCATCCACCTTATTTGGAACACTTGCCCCACCTGCCCATCCTGTTTATGTTTATTTTTCTTCCCCCTGCTGAAAAATCTGCCCTGTGGGAAGAAATTTTCCATCCACCACTGGCCAGTTGGAAAAAACTTTGGCCTGTGTGTCCACTTTCCCTCGGGATCTGTGTGTTCCCCATGTGTGCCCCTTCGGGTGTAATGTAAAAGCATGCCCCTGGGGAAGGGGGTGGGTCTGAGATTCCACCACTCGGGTGAGTCCTGGCAGGACTGGGCGAGTGCCATGCTAGCACTAATGCCCTCTCCAGGCACCCCAGCTCAGTGCAGGGAGTAGGAGACACCCAGGAGGCTGAGGTGGGTGCCCCCAAGATGAACTCCCTGCTTGTCTGTCCCCGGCAGGATGGAGCTCAGCCCCGACCTCATCTCAGCCTGCCTGGCCCTGGAAAAGTACCTGGACAACTCGAATGCCCTCACTGAGCGGGAGCTGGTACGGTGGGGCCCTGGGCCTGGGGGGCCCTCCTTCTCCTCCACCCAAACCCAGCTTCTCATCCAGAGGCCCTCCCTGGGAGCTGTTGGGGGGTGCTTGAGTCCTGGCCTTGGAATGGGGTTGGGGGTGCCCAGGATGGTGGCCTGAGGGCAGACCGGGCCTCCAGTTCCCTCTTTTTAGGGGGCCTGAGGGAGGGGCTGTACTTCTCTTTCTGGGCATCTCCACTTGCCGTTGAAGATCCTATCCAGGGTGGCGGTGCTCACACCATCCTCTGGGGACATATCTGGGGTTGCAGTGTCTACACTTCCCCTCAGAGTCCTTGTCCGGGATGGGGACACTATGCTTTTCACTACAGGGGACTAGTCTAGGGTGGGGTGCCCTTGCTTCTTCACAGCTCTGGTTCAGGACGGGGTGCCCACACCCACGCGCCCCCTCCTGGGGCCTAGTCTGGGAGCAGGTGGGCTGCCACCGCCCTCACGCCCGGCTCCCCCCACCGGCCCCGCATCCAGAAGGTGGCCTACACCACGGTGCTGCAGGAGTGGCTGCGCCTGGCCTGCCACAGCGACGCCCACCCCGAGCTTGTGCGGCGCCACCTGGTCACCTTCCGGGCCATGTCCGTGCGGCTGCTGGACTACGTGGTGAACATCGCCGACAGCAACGGCAACACGGCGCTGCACTACTCCGTGTCTCACGCCAACTTCCCCGTGGTGCGGCAGCTGCTCGGCAGCGGTGAGCCCGCAGGTGGGGCCGTAGGGAGGTGGTGCCCTCGGGTCCGATGGGGGCGGCACCTCCCTTACAGTCTGTTGAAAAAGCTGCCCTCCCTGTCCAGTGGGAAGGCCCGTCCCCCAGTGTGGTGTTCGATGTCCTTCCCTGCCAGAATGATGGGGGGACGCTGCCCTCCCCACTTACCAGGGAGATCCAGGCCTTACCCACAGCCCCCGTGTACTGGGAAGGGCAGTCATGATCTTATGGAAAACATGTGGACTTACGTGCCCCCCACGGGCCCCCGTGTGATGAAGGGGGCACCTCCAACACCCTAGTCTGAGAGAAGGATGTGGTCCCCAGTCAGGCAGGAAGGAACGTGCCCTGCCCTACCCTCAGCAGAGACAGCCTCCCTCCCTGGGCGCTGAAGGAGGCCGAGCCCACGATCTAGTGGAGGAGACATAAGCCAGTCCACAAGGGACCGGCTCTTCCAGATGAGGGGGGAACACTGCCCCTATTCTCGGCCCTAAAACTGGGTGCCAGTGTCGGGGCTTCAGTCCCATGCAGGAGGCATAGCCCTCCCTTTAGGGAGTTCCTCTTTAATGGGCTGGCATAGTGGAGACCCTGGGGCAGAATGGGAGAATTGGGCCACACCGAGACTGACAGCAGGATGTGGTCACATCCTGGGGGACCTCCCCCAGCCCTGAGGCAGGCCTGGCCAGTGGGGTCTGAGGGCTCGCGTCCTCCTTCCCACCCCTGCCCCCAGGTGTCTGTCGGGTGGACAAGCAGAACCGCGCTGGCTACAGCCCCATCATGCTCACCGCTCTGGCTACTTTGAAGACCCAGGACGACATTGAGACTGTCCTGCAGCTCTTCCGCCTTGGAAACGTCAACGCCAAAGCCAGCCAGGTACGGGCCCTCACCACTGCAATCCCGTGGCCTTTCCTGCTTACTAAGTCCTGAGTTGCACCAACACCAAACATGATCTCATTCTGTGCCCAGAGGAGAGTCCCCACTCCGCAGACAAAGAAACTGAGGCTCAGAGGAGTCCTTTCCTCAAGGTCAAACTAGAGGAGATGGGATTTGAATCCAGGTGGCCTAGCTCCAGAGCCATTCTCAGTGACCTGTGATAAAGGACCTTCTGGTGGAAATGGGGTGTGGGAGGGCACGGGAGGCACCTGCCTTTCTTAATCTGACACCGTCCCACATTCTTCTTGGTAAGGCACTGGGAAGGCCCAGCGGTGGGAAGGATTTCAGGAGGTGCAGGTGGCGGCCTGCGAACAAGGGTGGTGGTAGCATCAGAATATTCAGGAACTGTGGAAGGCTCCATAGCAGGGGCGTCATGCCTTGGGGCCTGTGCATACGCCTGTTCTTTGCCCTGCCCAGGCGGGGCAGACAGCCCTGATGCTGGCAGTCAGCCACGGGCGGGTAGACGTGGTCAAAGCCCTGCTGGCCTGCGAGGCGGATGTCAACGTGCAGGATGACGACGGCTCCACGGCCCTCATGTGTGCCTGCGAGCACGGCCACAAGGAGATCACGGGGCTGCTGCTGGCTGTGCCCAGCTGTGACATCTCCCTCACCGACCGCGTGAGTCCCCACCCAGGCCCGCCCCCCAGGGTGGGGGGGGGGCAGGAGCACAGCAGGGGGCCTTGTCACATGTCACAGCCAGGGATGCTTTACAGGATGGGAGCACGGCTTTGATGGTGGCCTTGGACGCAGGGCAGAGTGAAATCGCGTCCATGCTGTACTCCCGCATGAACATCAAGTGCTCGGTGAGTCTCAGGCCCGGGCAGGGCAGGGACTGGGGGACTCTCAGAGGAGATGGGTGTCTGTGGAAGACTGACTGTGTATGGAACTGATGCTGAGACTTAACAGTGTCATGTGCAAGTTGAACCTTCATTTGTTGAGCCTTATGAGAAAATGCTCAGCAAGCTGAGATTGCGTGGTAGGTATAGTGTTTCCCAGCCCGGATCCGTCTGGTTCCGGATGCATGCTCTTCATTACCATTCACTCGTTTGAGAAATAGTCACAGAGCACCCATCACATGATAGCCCTGTTCTAGACCCTGCAGTCACAGTGCTGACAAAAGCTTCTGCCCTCATACAGGGGATATTCTAGTAAGAGACACAATAAGCAAATCGGTGTATCACAGCCAGGGGACAGTGAGTGCTAGAAAGAAATACAGAACAGGTCAGAGGGATGGTGAGTGGTGCGGGAGCTATTGTAGACATTGGGGAAGAGGTGACATTTGAGCCAACGCCTGAGAAAGTGGGGGAGCAAGTTCTGTGGCTCCCCAGGTGGAAGGAACAGCCAGTGCAAAGGCCCTGAGGTAGGAGCACACCTGGTGTTTGAGGAGCACCAGGGAGCCCAGGGGGAGGAGATGCAGGCAGGGAGGTGACAACACAGGTCATACAGGTTTGGGGGTGCAGTGAGGACTCTGCCTTTTATGTGAAACATGTCAGTGTATTAAAGGCCCTGAGAAGGCCCGCTGTAAAGAAACTTAACCTAACTGTGTGTAATTCGGCATTTCTCTTATCTGACCATAGAAATCTGGGTTTTGTAAAAATCATGCTTGTTAGCAAAACACTCTTCTGGAAGCATAACAGGAGCATAGCATTGACACTTGCTGTGTCCTGAGTGCCTGATGGAGCAGAAAGCCCTTGCAGTCCGATGGACTGTATCCTAAGTTCCTCCCAGGCATGATTTCTTGAACCCTCCCTAATAACCTGATTTAATCGCAGGGAATACTGTCATTTTCATTTTTCAGGTAGGGAGACTGAGGTTTAGAATGGTTACCTCCCTGACCCAAAGTCTCACAGTGAGGAAGCTGGAGGCCCCAGGGTCCACCTGAGTGCAGACCGTGTGCAGGGGCCTCGCCCCCCCGCTCAGCTCCACCTTGCGCCCGCCCTGGCATCCCTCAGGCACGCCCAGGGCCAGACTCGAGGGTGGCAAGGCAGGTGTCCGGTCCCTAGATGGTCTTGCAGAGAGCAGGTCCCGATTCAACCCACCCTCCTCCCACCTGGCTCCCAGGTTCTCACTGAGGTTCTGAGGTTTTCGCTCCCCAGGGCGTCGGGACCACTGGGCCTCCAGCGCTGCACTCGGGGGTCGCCTGGGGAGCAGCTGTGGGCCTCGGTTTCCTCAACTGGAAGATGAGGTGATGGCTGGAGTGGCGTCCTGCTGTCTGATGTGTGGTCCTGCCCCCAAGGACTCCTGAGAGTCTAGCCCTCTGTTGTCGTCTCCCTGGACCACTGCTGTTGCCCCTGCCCTGGCCCCGGGCTGCCACACTTTACACTCCCTGCAGTCTGTTCCCCCGACAGCAGCCGGAGGTCACTGTGAACACCCGAGTCAGGCTACATGGCTCCCTCTTCTGTGGATCCCTCCTCACTTGAAGAAAAAGCCAAAGTCATTCCCCAAAGCCCCCAAGCCTGGCAGGGCCACCCTCCCCTCCCCAGGACCTCCTTCCTCTCCCTCTCTCTCTCTCCCTCTCCCTCTGCTCCAGCCACACTGGCCTTACTGCTGCTCGTGCCTCAGGGCCTTTGCACTTGCTGTTTCCTCTGCCTGGAATGTCCTGCCCCTTGGCTGGCCCGTCACCGTTGCTCAAGCCCAGACGTCGTCCTCCCTGACCCCCGCTCTCCCCTTTCTTCTTCATCCATCCCTCATCCCTGATGGAAGTCATCCCCCCAGCATCTCCCCACAACATAACCTCCTTGAGGCCAAGGGACCAAGGCCTCTGGTTCCCTCAGGGCAGACACAGCGCCAGCCGACCGAGTTGGCACCTCGCCTCGCAGGCAGCGGAAAGAATGCCGGACAAAAGGGGTCTGCTTCTCGTTTCAGTTTGCGCCCATGTCAGATGACAGTCCCACATCATCCTCCGCAGAAGAGTAGCCGCCAGAGGGACTGACCCGTGCCGGAGCGAGCGAGCCGGCCCTCCTGCCTGGGCCCTTGTCCCTTCTCTGCCCCCTCCCTGGCCAGCACCCCTGCTGGACCCACCAAGGCCCAAGTCTCAAAGGCAAGGGGGCTTTTCCTCTGCTTCCCTGGGGAGCTGCCGACAGCAACAAGACGACAGCTTCACGCGGGTTTTTCCCGGTGCCCCAGTTCAAAGCAGCCCCAGCGCAGACCAGACCAGAGCCGAATTCTTACATAAATTGGCGCCAGTGGCTGATGCCGGGACGTGGGTTTATGAAGAACTCTGAGAACAATCAACCGGCAATTATGGATGGAGGAGGTTGAGAGGGAAAAATCGTGTGTTCTTGAATCACGGTCGGGGAGGGCGGGGAAAACCTATCCCTTGTTGCCAAATTCTCGTTGAAATTGTTCGTTGAAAATGGCTAGAATTGCATATTTTCACGTTCATCCTGAATGTCATTACGCCCGGGGCACGTCTGGGGTGGCTCACCCGCCCTCCTCACCTCCCCACATGTAATTGTCTGGTATAGAATAGGGTTTTGTCCACTATCCCCGCCCCCCGAGATGGCTTTCTTGGGGGGATTTCCTTCTGGTGTCTTCACAGAACAGATTCTGTCCTTGTCACCCGGGCGAGGAAGTTCAGTCCTCCATTCTGCTTTCTCACTGGCATTCCAGTGGGGCGCTCAGGACCCACCCAGCAGCCGGGCTGTGTGAGCCATTCACATGGAGAAATTACCCAGGAGTCTGTCCCGTCCCTGCATGGAGGCTCTGGCAAATATTAATTTTCCTAGAAAATCCTTCAGACCCGGAGATGCAGGAAATGAATCCAGTTCCCAGCGCAGCTGCTCAGTCCCTGGGCTTAGAATCCTGGTAACGGGGCCGTCCTTACCCTCCCCAGACTCCAGACCTCAAAGGAAATCAAACAGGGCATGTGCTTGTTGGCGAAACCCAGGTTGAGCGCCACAAATTCCATGTGTGCACAATTAAAAGTTGGCTGCCCCTGAGGGCTCCCAGTGCAACTTAAAGCGATAGCTTTGCCGAAAACCAAACAAGGGCCAGCTGGGGTTTTATTTTTTTTTAACAACCTACGGGCATCCCCGAGCTGCCTGCTGGAAACAGGGCCCGCCAGACACCCGCAGTTTCCTTCATGGCCTGTGTTGTCCGCCAGAATCTCAACATACATTTATCTTTCCTGTTTCTTTATGAACACACACACAAAAAGGATGGGTTCTGAGCCCCCAGAAGGACCTGTGGCAGGGAAGGAAGGTCCCTAGCTAGAAGGTGTCCTCTGCCCTCTCACCCCATTCTCAGCTCAGCCACCACAGCAAGAGAGAGCAGTTCCTGAGAGCTTATGTTCCTTAGGCAAAGCAAAGTGCTGGCCTCTCTCCTAGAAAAGTAGGTTTCTTGGCTTGACGGAGCGTGGTTTGCTTTGATGTCGATTGGAAGGATGCACCTAAGAGACAAGAGTTTGGCTGGTCGAGAGAGGGAGTGTGTGTGTGTGTGTGTGTGTGTGTGAATCGGAGAGAACAAATCACAGCTGATGAGGCCCACTGCCGGTGTCTGATGGAAAGCCTCACCTGTGGAGAGCTTTGAGAAGCGGTGCAGGAGTTGTGCGCCTCTGTGTCCAGCCCCAGAGCCAGCGGGTGTGTTTATTTTAAGCTCTGAGAAGCAGCTCATTTACCGCCCAGATAAGTCCGTATCTGTCCCTGTGTTCCCTTCCTCCCAGCCCCACTGGGCCTGGCGTGGTGGGCTACAGCAGACCCGGCCTTCATCCTTGTACTCTTCTCACGTGTATTCATGACCTTTAACTTCACTTTCCAACCACGGTATGTCCATAAAGACAGTATTACACTTAAATGAAGTATTCCTTTTTGTAATCGTTTTTTTTTAGAAAGTAAAGGAATTTAATAAAGCTGCCTTATGATAATGCGCCAGTGTCTGGTGTTTGCCTCACTGTAGTCCTCTTTGAGCTTTAAAATGGATCTCTTTTTAAAACTTGACTCACTTTAAACAATGCTGAAAGCTACAGAAAAGTGGCAAGACTGTTACAATGAACTCCCTTATGCTCTGAGCTATGCCCATGGTCCCATACTGAAGCCACCAGCTGCATGGGGCTATTTCCATTTAAATGTTAAATTATAATGAATGTGTGCCCAGTAGTCACACCTGGCTGGTGGCTCCTGTATATCGAGCTGTTATAAAATATATAAAACACTGCCATTGTGTTTTAACACCCACTGTAAGGACCTCAGAAAAAAGTGCATACTGATTTCTTTTTTTCTTGGGAGAAACCATTCATAGTGATCGTAAAAGGCAAAACTCAAAACAATTCAGAAACGTGTGGCATAATAGAGGGCGCCAGGGTCCCCCCTGGTAGAAATGCCCACCTTTGTCAATACTTTGGAGTACCTCCTGCTAAACCTTTTTCTAATGGGGGGTGCCTTAAAATATTTTGTTTTGCTACTTTGCTTTATTGAGGTATCGTATACATATATTCTGTGCACAAGTCATGTGCTAAAGTGTACAGCTGCATGGCTTTTACAAGCCACAGCCCCCTGTGTTCAGGACCAGAAGTGGACCTCCCTTGGCACGTTTGTCCCCTCCCCGTCCCCAGGCCCCTACCCTCTCTCCCACGCCAGGGTCACCAGATGACTGCTCTCCTGACCTCTCACTTGCTCCATTTTTCTTCTGGACAGTGCAACCAGGAGATACTGGGTGGCTTTCAGAGGTGGGAGGAAGTCCCAGATATTTTGTGCAACGTTGTGTATTTCTGAGCGGAAGGTCCACTGCCCTTACCAGTTTTCCAGAGGAGTCTGTGAGCCCAGAAGGGGCTTTTTTGGAAATAGTTTCTCACAAGCCATTGCTCAGGACCGTTTCTGTCATCCTTGTTACCTTGCTTAGCAGATGCTTAAGACCCCATTTCCCAGCACCAGCAGGTGTCTTGCTTTGCTTTTTTATATATAGTTTTATTTTTAATTGTGGTAAAATATTCGTAACATTCACCATCTAAAGCATTTTTAAGCACTCAGCCGAGTGGCATTAAATGCATTCACATTGTGGTGTGGTCATTCCCACTGCCCATCTTCCAGAACTTTTCAGCCTTCCCAGACTGAAACTGTCCCCATTAAACATTAACTCCTTCCACCAGCCCCTGGCAACCAACATTCTACTTTCCGTTTCTATGAATTTAAGAGGGATCACACAGTATATGTCTTCTGTGTGTCTGGCTTATTTCACTCAGCATAAGCATGCCCTCCCAGATTCATTTATGTTGTAGCATGGGTCAGAATTTCCTGTTTAAGGCTAAATAATATTCCATTTTATATATATATAACATTTTATTTATCCATTTATCAATGAAAGCTTGGGTTGCTTCCACCTTTTGGCTATTGTAAATAACACTGAGTATACAAGTATCTCTTCAAGTCCTGGCTTTCAGTTTGGGGAGTAGATACTAAAATCGAAATTGCCGGATCAAATTTTTTTGAGGAGCTGCCACACTGTTTTCCCTTGTGGCTGCACCATTTTTCATTCCCACCAACAGTGCACAAGGATTCCAATTTCTCCACATCCTGGCCAACAATTATTATTTTTTTAATAGCCAACCTCATGGCTGTGAATCGGTTCTTGTTTGTTTTTTGAGAGGGAGGTGAGTGTCCTCTTTTGACAGGAGCATTTATATCTGTCAGGCTATGGTTGTGCAATCTCAAATGGCTATCTCTTGAACATCCCGCTCCAGCTGATAAGAGAGAGCTATCATTAGCCCACCATTTAGGAAGGTCAAGAATTTGCCAAGGTCATAGGTAATCTGCAGAGCCAGGAACTGAGCCCAAAATCTTATCTATTTCACTCTGCATTGTTTTGTAATCCACCACCTTTAGGCCCAGTGAAGGTAAACCCCCTGCCACCAAAGGTCATGTGGCTGCTGGTGACAGCAGTGTCAGTGTCAGGAGGGTGAAGGAAACCATAAGCGCTGACTCTGGGGACCCAGCCTCATGCCCTGACCCAGATATTTCTGCACCAAACAACTAAAGTGTCATCACTTCTACATCTGCATAGATGCTCCATGAGACAAAAGCCTAGGGAGCTTCCAAGAAGGGGAGGGGTGGGGAAGGGGATTGAGGGGTATGGTGATTAGTTCCCATGATGTGTGTGGGGAGTCATGGGGAAGACAGTGTAGCACAGAGAAGACAAGTAGTGACTCTGTGGCATCTTACTACACTGATGGGCAGTGACTGCAATGCGGTATGGGGGGAACTCGATAATATGGGTGAATGTAGCAAACAAGTTGTTTTTCTTATGAAACCTTCACAGGAATGTATATCAAGGATATCTTAATTTAAAAAAAAAAAAAAGGCTAGGGAGCTTAATCGGAAAACATGGGTATGGCCTTTGGGGGTCCTGAACCCAAAATGTGCATGAAATAAGGGAGAGCCTCTCAGCAGGCAAACGGTGTGTCCTGGTTTCTGACCTAGGCTTGGGAGCGATACAGTGTTTTGCCACGGCTCAGTATGTCGCACTGGGTCCTGCTCAAATTCACGAAGAGGGGAACTCGAGCCTGCCTCTTGATGGGAGTGGCAAGGCTGCAACTATTTCTTCAGCCATTTTTCAAAAATAAAATCTGCCACACCCACTACAGAAATGCAGTTTGGAGTTCCCCAAGACAGTGCTTACTTTCTGTACACAACGCACTGATTCTATCTTCCTTTGTATTTTGTAGAAATAAGCCTAGCTTTGTAATCCACCACCTTTAGGTCCAGTGAAGGTAAGCCCCTGCCACCAAAGGTCATGTGGTCATGAGCCACTAACTCACTTCTTCACCTCAGTTCGAGACATGTCACAAAAGCGTGCAATTTGTCTTTCCTCTACTGTAACCCTGCACCCAACATGTTTTTTGGCACAAGATAAGGCTCCGCGCCACACTCAGTAGTGTTCTGTGTGTATTTTATTTAATGCCTTAATATAGTGCTTATTGAATAATCCTCACACCTACTCTGAAGCTCTTATTATGACCCTCATTTTATTGAGGAAAGCGAGGCACAGAGGGGTGAAGTAGTTTGCCCAGGGTAACACAGCTTGTAAGGTGGCGAAACTGGGATTTGAACCCAATAAATCTAGCTGCTATGCAGCCTCTTAACGGAAGTTACTTATTACGTTTATTGGGGGTATAGCGCACACATAGACACTGTGGAACGTCAGCTCACGAGAAACCGTTCACGGCTTCGCCATAAAACCCCGCCCTGCATGCAGCAGGCGCTTAACCTAAGAGAAATAACCTTAAGGCTCTTGCAGCCGCCTTCCAGACTGCGCGGGCGCACGTAGTCAGGACTCTCCGAGGCATTTCCCCCCCGCCCCCTGCGCTGATTGGCCACCGCCGATGACAAACGGAGGAGCCGGCGCAGGCTCACTGGGGCAGACCTGAAAAGGCCGCCCATATCGCTGATGACTGACGGAGGATCAAGCCAATGGAAACGGGGTTCTTTGGGAAAGGGGGCTGGCCCTGCGGGCAGTTAAATCTGCGCGGGAGCGATCCCGGCACAGTCATGGCGGCCTTCCGCGATATGGAGGAGGTGAGCCAGGGGCTGGTGAGCCTGCTGGGCGCCAACCGCGCCGAGGCGCAGCAACGGCGGCTACTGGGTCGCCACGAGCAGATAGTGGAGAGGCTGCTGGAGACGCAGGACGGCGCCGAGCAGCGGCTGCGAGGTGAGGACCGGGACCATGGGGCGGAAGGGGGCAGCCAGACCGGCCTCGAAACCCCTCCTCCCTGGGCGCCCCCGTCCCCTGCGCTTTTTCCCCATGAGACCAGCGGGTGGGCGCTGCCCCGCCTGAACCTGTTTCCCCATCCGTGAAACGGGCTTCAGGACCGCAGCCACCTGAATAGTGGGGTTTAGTGGTAAATATAGGAGCTCGCAGGGCCTGGCTCAATTCTAAGGGCTCCGTGATCCGGAGCTGGGGAACTCAGGGTTTGAATTGGGACTCAGAAATCAAAGCGCTGGCTTGGAATCCCAGCTCCCCTAGTTTTTGAGGTTGTTCAGGTGTTTCACTGCGCACCTGCTGAGCGCCAGGGGTAGTGCCAGCCCTGGGATGCGGTCAGTGAACAAAACCCAAAATCCCTTGGCAGGGGCTGATAGGCTAGTTGGGGAAGGTCAGAGGTTAGAAGGTCATAGGATAAACAAGAAAAATGGGTATGTCAGGAGGTGAGGGGCTAAAGAGGAAAAAAAGTAGGTCGTTTAGGGAGAAGTGGTGATATTTTGGGGGCGGGACCAGCAGAGACCTTGTGAGAAGATGATGTATTAGCAGAAATCTGAAGGAGGTGAGGAAGGGAGTCAGGGCGATGGTGAGGAGTCATTAAATACACCGAGTGGGCAAAGTTCCTTCTGCTTTATGGGGAGAGAATCCTGGGCAAATAGTATTGTTTTTGTCAAATCCAAGACCCCATCAAGTATTAAGGAAAGCTATGCTAATAAATATCTCAACACACCGCAGAGAGGGCTAGACCCAGCCTCTCCCTGTGGGGGTGATGGGGGTAGGGGTGGGGTTTGCCCAGAGCCTCCCACCTGGATTTCAGCTGGTAGCTCATGACTCCTGTGGTCGAGTCCGCTGGCTTCCCTCTGGCCTCAGTTTCTTCATCTGTGAAATGGGGTTGCTGATAGCACCCCCCCCCGTACCCCGCCCCTTACCACGGGTATTCTCGGTGCCAGGGTTTCTTTGTTTATAAGGCTACATGTTTGTGTGTGTGTGGTAGAATTGATACAATGTAAGACTCACCGTTTGAACCATTTGTAAGCACACAGTTCGGTGGCATTAAGTACATTCCAGCCATACCCACCGTGCATGTCCAGAACGTTTTTGTCATCCCAAACTGAAACGTTGTCTTCAGGAAACACTCGGTCTTCTTCCTCCTCCCTTCTTTCTGTCTCTATGAATCTGACTTCTTTAGGGACCCCGTGTAAGTGCGATCAGAGAGCATTTGTCCTGTGTCTGGCTTATTTCACTGAGCGTGTCTTCATGGCTTATGTTGTAGCCGGGGTCAGAATTTCTTTCCCTTCTAAGGCTGAATAATATTCCATTGTATGGATACACCACATTCTGTTTATCCATTCTTCTGTCTTCAGCCACTGGGGTGGCTTCCACCCCTTGGCTGTTGGGAATATATTTTCGAGTCCCTGCTTCCCATTCTTTTTTGTATTTTCCCAGAATTGGCCTTGGTGGGTCAGATGGTAATTCGATACTTAATTTTTGGGAGAACTGTCATCAAGTTTTCCACAGCAGTTTCGGTGCCAGGGATTTTCAATGCTTCTCTTCAGTTACATTTTGTGCAGAGGCGCCCTCCGGGTTGTGACTTTGAATGACCTAGTTGCTAGGCAAGGCGTGGCTCAGAGGAAGGTGCTCCTCGCAGAGGGGACTGTAGATGCAAAGGTTGCAAGGTGAGACTGAGCTCAGAGTCCCGGGTGAAAGTGGTAGGAAGGGAGGCCAGCAGCAGCCAGGCCCTACCAGGCGTGTGGCCCCCAGGAGGAGGGATGTGGAGGTTGTTCTACACACGGCAGAGTCCTCTGTCCGCCTCCTCCCTGCTCCAGTAATGATTTAGAGAGAGAAGGTCAGCGTCACCCAGCCAGCCTGGGTTGTAGTGGAGCGGACGGGTTTGGAGCTGGGGACACGGGAGGCAGTTTGGCAGGGAGCTGGGCTTTGAGTCAAAGGGATCCAGTTCAGATCCTTGCTTTGGAGCAAAGCACCTCTGGACAAGTCACTGAACTTCTCTGGGCTTGTGTTCCCCTCTCAAAGGTTGGGCGGAGCTAAGCCAGCTCCCTCCAGGGTTGTGAGTTCTCGCTGGATGGGATCCCAGGTTATCCCGAGGCAGTCAGCACACACCCAGGTATTCGAACATCTGTGGAAGGCAGCACCCCCAAGGGAAGAACCCGAGGAGGCTCGGTTGTCCCTCAGGAGGGGGCATGGAGAAGGGGCAGGAAGGCTGTGGAGAGAGCCAGACCCTCGGCTATTCTAACAGGAAATCGGCAGGCACCATCTGAAACAGACAAATCAAGAAAGAGCAGCATAAGCAGATTATTTAGAAATAGGAAGGTCCGTGCCAGAGAAAACAGTGAGGAGTTGAGAGTGGCTGCCTCAGGGGCAGAGAGGCCCGGGGCGGGGAGCTGTGTGTATGTTTAAATTTTCACAACCATATACATGTAATACTTTGATTAAAAATTAACTTAATGTAAGTTTGTAAACACTGAAACTCCCGGCCCTTTGGGAAGCATTTCCATCTGTGCCTCCTCGGTGTTGGCAGGTTTCTCAAACTGTGGGAAGGAACACAGCAGACTTCTTAAGGTGTTTTAGAGCTTTCTGGATGTTTGTTCAGTGCATGTTTATCCTAGCGGGCGCTGGCGATATATGGTGAATGTAAGATGAATCCATGATTCAAAGAACAAAGACGAGGAAGAAATCCTTCAGTGTTATGGGGCCGTCGTGGTGCTGCACCTTCCCGGTTGTGCATCTTTCCCAGGAGGGGTTGAAGCCCGGATCTGGGTGTGCCCGGTGGGCAGGAGCCCAGGGGCACCCCACAGAAGACGGGCAAGAGCGGGCCCAGGTCTGTGAAAGGCGCACAATCAGGTGTCTCTGTGGCCAGAGCTGAGACAAAAGTACATAATGGGGTGAAAAACAGGGAGAAAGGAGGCTGGCAAGGACGGTGAAGAATCTCAAAGGGACCTAGACCTTCTTGAAACACTGGGCAGCCACGGGAGGTCTTTGAACAGGAGGGTGACTTCACATTTGGCCTCTAACGCAGCCACTTTGGAGGTGGAGAGAAGAAGGGATTGGCCGACTGGCCACCCGGGAGAGACCAAAGCAGGGCTGGGCGGGGAGGCTGTCCAGAGGGACCGGGAGAGGGCCCGGAGCTCAGCGAGGTGGTGGGCAGACAGGACCAGGTGGCCGATTGATGCCAACAGTGAGTACCAGCCTTCCTGCCTGGGCAACAAGGTCAGCCACAATAGACTTTATAAACTATAAATTTATAAAGACCTTATAAATTAAGACTAGATGTGCACAGGACTGGTTTTTTTTTGTTTTTGTGGATTCCAATGTGTTTTGCTGATGGAAGCACTTTGCGAGGTCTGGGTGGTTCTGCCAGGTGGGCATTCGGTAATAGAATGAGCAGGTCCGGGAGCAACGGCCGGAAGCAAGGGCGCTCATTGTCGGTGGGGGTGGTTGAGGCGGCCGCAGGTGAGCCACCCTCCTCTCCTGGGGCTCGTCAGGGCAAGGACAGGCCCTGGGAGCCCGTGCGCAGGAGGCCCAGACCCCTCCCACCCTGCAGAGGTCCTCGCTGCGGAGGAAGAAGTGGCCCAGCGCCTTCTTGATGCGAAGGAGCAGGCGTGCCTAGGGAGCACCGAGCTGCAGCAGCTCGAAGCCCAGCTGCAGAAGGCCGGCGAGGAGGACAGCCGTCTGAAGGCCAGCCTCCTATATCCTTTGCTGCGTGCGGCACGGCTGGGCCCCCCTCGGCCGGCATCGGCCCGCGGGCAGCCCTCCCTCCACAGCAAGGCTCCTTAACCCCCTCACTCAGCTCACCAGGGAGCTGGAGGCGTGCAAGGAGGTCGAGGCCGATCTGGAAACACGGGAGAGGGAAGTGGACGAGGACACAACAGTCACCATCCCTTCAGCTGTGTAGGTCCCACAAACACGTGCTCTCATGCGCGCGCGTGCACGTGCGCTCTCAACCCTGCAGCTCTCTGTTGATATTTTATTCTTCTTTTCTTTCTTTTGTCTTGTCATACAGGTATGTGGCTCAGCTTTATCACCGAGTTAGTAAAATTGAGTGGGATTATGAGTGTGAGCCAGGTGTGATCAGGGGCAGTATCCTTTGTGGAGAAGGTAGTACAGCCGCCAGGGAACACAGCAGGGCGGGTCCCCCCAAAAATTAACTGCAGAATCACCATGTGATCCAGCAATTAATTCCACTTCTGGGTATAAACACCAAAGAGTGGAAAGCACGGACTTGCACAGATGTTTGCACACCCACGATCATACAGTACGGCTGTGAAAGTACAGTACCACACAATACAGCCCTGCAATAGCCAAAAGGTGGAAGCAGCCCACTTCTCGGATAATGATAGTGTCTTACCAGCATTTAACTTTTCATTCACAAAAATCGGTTCCAGCCTCTAAATATCTCAAAATAAGCTTTTCAAAGGCAGTGTCCCTTCCCCGTGGGAACCTGGGGCGGGCGTGTGAGCCAGGTTTCCTTACATCTGCGCCCTCAGTCCATCACGGCCCCCGTGTCGCCCAGCCCATCCACCTGGACAGCAGCCAGCTCTCCAAAAAATTCATCAGCGACTATCTCTGGAGCTTGGTGGACGTGGAGTGGTAGCCAGGGACCGCGTCTTGCGCTCAGCGGGAATCGGCCGGGGGTGGTCGGTGCCTCAGTGGTGAGGTCAGCTTAAAATTAAATGTTTGTACATAAATGGATTTTTTTTTTGCTGTATTTCTTTTTCCCCCTGATTTCGGCCTCATGTGTTGGACCGGCCTCGGTCTGTCTGATAACCATAGAGAGCTGACTTCACTGTGCCCAGCCTGCACCTTCACATTTGTGACAGCACCATGCAAATGACACCATAGCCTAGGATGGCAAGTTCTAGGTCTTTATCATTTGTGATTAAAATTCAGCCCTTATTTTGTTCATCCAGGGTGTATCTGTGAGTGCCACTGGGTGTCCTGAACTGGGCTAGGCACCCAAGACAGAAAGGAGACAGGTGGAGGGGGCAAGCGCGGGAGATGCCTCCCCCGAGCTGGAGCGGGTCCTGAGTGCTTCAGGGCCGCGGCTGGGGGAGACTTGGCTAGAGTTTGGAAGGACGAGGAGTCAGTCATGAAGAGATCTGGGGAGTGGCCCATCCTGGCTCCAGGGTCAGTTGTGTGGCAGAGACCACTGACTGCCTCCCTGACCTGGTTCTCCTCTCCTTCCTTAGTAAGGGTACCGTTTTAGCCATCCAGTCCGAACACATTTCCCATCCCTTACAGCTAAGTTCAAACCAATGAAATGTAAGTGAAAATGTCGTATGAGATTTCTAGAAAGATCCTTAAAAGGCATGGTAATATACTCTTTCTTTCCCTTGCTCTCTATTTTCTGGAATTTGGGGTTGATGGCTGGAGCCTTGGCAGCTACGTTGCCTCATGTGAGGGCCGGGAGCAGTCCTTTAGGGATACAGGAGCCTGGTTCCCTGGTGACAGTGGAGCCAGGCATCAGGCTGGACTTCTTTAAGCCCTCAACTGTCTTGTGTGTGTCATTGTTTTGGTTTTTCTATTACAACCAAAGTAAAGCCTAACTGTTCCATGCAACCCAGACCAGTTGATGCGTTCATCTGTTCCCCATCCTCAGTGTTTGGGTTACTACTCAGAATGGCCGGCCTGCCAGCCTGGGAGCAGAGAGGGGAAAGTAGAGTCTCCTTGACACCAGTTACCTCCTGGATGCAGCCTTGCCTGAAGCCAGTAGATTTGTTACAAGAACCTCTGGATGTTAGGTTTCACACACCTGTGTGCATGAAATCCAAAAAACTAGATTATTTACAGTAAGTGCAATTAGTGTTTTTTTAATCAGAGGGCATTCTAGCCTAAGCATCTGAGCACATCAAATGGGCAGATTTTGGTCTGTTCAGGTGACACTTGGACACAAGGAAGTCTGCCTGTCAGCCTCCAGGGAGATGGGTCCAAATAAGAGGGATCATTAGCCCATCCCTAAAATGCAAGAAACCCCAGTCCGGTCGGCTCACAGAGTTTCCGGGAGGACTTGAGGCTCTGATCTTATGCTAAAGACTTTCCATGTTCAAGTACGCATTCACATAAGCCCCTTGGGCTGTTCTCATTTTCAAGGTTAGTATAGCCTTTTATGGGGTGACTAGAGCAGAGACTTCCCACCTCAACCCCCCACTCTCCAGACGCCAGGGATACTCCCCTCAGGCATGAGAGCTCTGGGGTGGGGGCCGCATGCACGGCCATCCGCCCGCCTTGCAGCCTCAGCCAACAAGCCAGGCATCCACATGTGTCAGCTGGATGGCCGCTGTCCTTGGTGGCCCTGTAAGCAGCTACCTTACACCTGCGCCAGTGAAAGTGCACCCCATGGGCATGTGAGCCGATCCAGCCCCACTGGGAGCCCTGGGCCTGCCTGGTTCCCGCTAATCAAACACCTGCGGGGCCAGCACGCCTGTAAAGAACGCAGGCGTGGGGGGCTATCTGTGGCCCTGGCTCAGTCCCCAAGCCCTCCATGGGCCTGTTCTTCCCCAAGTAACCGCCTTGCTCTGTTCTGGGAGGGGGCCAAGGAGGGGTTGGCCTGCCTGGCGCTTGGTTTCCCCAAGAGGAAGGTCTCAGGGAGTTTGCATGAACCCAGGTTTCGGGGGCCAAGTCTGTTCCCCACACAGCCGCCACCCCGCCTGTCTCCCCATGTAGTCCCAGGGACCTGCCGAAGGACTGAGACAGTGGGTGAGGAACACAGCACGGCGGGGCGGGCTCGGGGAGGCGCCTGAGCTCATGGGGGCCAGGAGAGGCCCCGGCCCTCCGCATGCCTGGGCCCTGACTCACTGCCCAGCGCTGGCTGGACGCCTGGGACGGCCAGCAGGTCAGCCTCGGCCCGCAGCCTCCAGCCTGCACCCCACCCCCACCCCTGGCTGTTCTCCCTCTGAGAGCCGCCGGCAGAGGCAGTGGCTGCCACCAGTTTGCCCCAGAATTCCGGGCCCCGTAACCAGTTCTCTCCAGAATTCTGGGGAAGGCCACAGGCCTGCTGAGCATTTGGCCTGCCTCGTTGGGGTACGGGCAAGGTTCCTATCCCATGACCAGGGTGGGGGAAGCCGGCTGTCCAGCCTTGCGAGCTAGCACCATTACCCCCATTCCTCCTCCTGAACCCCCTCAGGATTTTCCATTTTACAGATGGGGAAACTGAGGCACCATCCAGTCACTTTCCCCACGTCACAAGACAGAGATGCCCCTGGAGTCTGAACCCTGGCAGTGGGGCCCCAGGCCCGTGGAAGAGGGCTTTTCAGATGGGAAAAGGTCCCCCAGGTAGAGGCCCCACGAGGCCTCGACCCCCACCTGCGCTTGGTCACGCCCTAAAACTGAAGTTCCGGATGCCTAGTCACTGGTGATGGGTGATGATGGCTGTGGGTTGGAGAGCCACGCACCTGGCTGACGTGGCTTAGAACTGGTGACTGAGCAAATAGCCAAGGGTATACTGAGGCAAGAGGCCGAGCCCCTCACACTGGACCCACGGCAATGGGAGGGTGAGACCTGAGGCAGGCTTTCCCTGAGAATCCAGCATGGCATCTTCCTGTGGAAGTCCCCAGGCCTTTGTGCCAGGGGGTGAGTCTGCCCCATGGGACCCCACCAGGGTCAGGCATCCTGGTGTAGTTGGAGGTCAAAGTTGTCCCCAGAGATCAACTGGGAGTGGGGAGTACGTCGTGGAGAGCAAGTGTCTGAGGCTGGATTTAAACCCAGGGCTGTTGCATGGAGCTGGGATCAGATCTCCCCCCCAACCCCACCATGCTGGGTGGGCAGGGTCCCCAAGGGCTGGTCTTGGGGCATCGGTGCCCAGAGACCCTCAGGGAGGTCTCAGGACCTCCTGACAGCCTCCCTGATCAATGCAGAAATGTGGAATGGGCATCTGGGACCCGCCAGGCCCCCTTAGGGAGCGACGCTCCAGTGGAGCCCAGCACAAACTGGGGTCAGTAAGGAGACTGAGTCATATGAGATCAGAGAATTTAAAAGGTTTCTCAGCTGATGGGCGGCAGGGCCAGGGTTTGGACTTGTCCGCTTAACCCCCAGCTTTCAGTTAGTGATAAATACTGTCACTGCAGCAAGATTGGGGGGCTCTGGAGGAGACCCCAAAGAGGAGGTGTCATTAAAGCCCAGCCCTGAGCCCCCAGGGGACAGAAGTACGGAGGTGGTGCCCCAGGCAGAGGGAAGAGCACGGTATTCAGAGGCCCGTGTGGAGGAAATCGTGGGGCTGAAGGCAGGATCATGCCGGGCCTGCAGTCCACAGTGAGACTGAGAGGATTTTCTGACTCCAGGCAGGGCCCCAGAGTTGGGGCTCAGGAAGAAGGAGCCTGAGGCCAGGCTCCTGTGACACAGGTCACAGCGCAGGCCTGGCAAATCTAAGGAGCTGGACTTGCAATGACCCACCAGCTGCCCCCGCCCTCCCAGGCACAGCGTGGGAGCTGAATCCCTGAGCAGAGCAGCTGGGCTGGGGAAAGAGGGAGCCCCTCCATGGAGGGCAGGAAGTGGCGCTGAAACCTGAGCTGCCTGGAGGGGAGGCTGGACTGGACCCAGGAGTTCTGGGGCCTCCATGCCTCCATCCCCGCCCCCCCCCTGCTCCCCGCTGCCCTGCTCAATGGGGTAGGCTGCTCACACTCAGACCCCCGGTTGCTCTCTCATCCCTTCATCATGGAGGGAATTCACTTCCTGGCGGAGGGGAGGGGCCAGCCTGGAAGCCACAGGGTGGGGGCAGCACCCCGCCTCGGACCTGGACGGAGCCCTGCAGGCTCCAGCCTGACTCACCGCAGGCAGCTGTGGTTTGGGATGCTGGGCTGGGGTGGGGGGCGGCAGAGGACAAGAGCCGGGGCACCAGGCCTGGGGGAGCAGCTTTCTCCCATCGCCTACCCGTCCTAGCGGGTGACAGCCCCAAGCTGCCTCTGGCCCCAAGCCTTGTGGGACAGACCTGGGGTTCGAGGCTTACCCAGGACCTTCCACTAGGGGACCCCACGCAGCCCAGAGACCCACAGCAACAGAGGGTTCTACCACCTTGGTGAGCCTCCCAGGCTCCAGCTCTGCCCCCAGGCCCCGGGGTGGAGAAGGGTGTCTGGGTCCCACCAGGAGCTGTGTCCGTAGAGCCCAGTGACCCCGCGTTCCCTTTCCCAGAGCCCAGTGACCCCGCGTTCCCTTTCCCATCTGAGAAGTGGGTGCTACCCGCTGTCCCCTCCTCTTGGAACCACTGCAAAGAGGTGACAGTGATCTCGAGAAGCCTTTGCTCTCATTTGTCCAAAAGCTCTCATTCCCATGCGGGGCCAGCGGATGAAGGATTTTAGTGACTACTCTTAACAGAAAAGGGCCCAAGGCAGACCGGAAACTGCCATCCCCTCTGGCCTCTCCCGTGAGCTCCCTTTACCCGGGACACCCCCCAGCCTGCTTCCCACTCCCCGCGGCCGCCAGTCGCCCCAGGCCCCGCCGTTCACGCTCATTTGTCCCGTTTGCCACGCGGCTGGGCAGGGAACCAGTCAATCAACCAATTATCGAGCGACCGCCGTGTGCAGGCCCCGCGCTTCCTGTGTGGTCTGGTCTGTTTCGCTCCCAGAGGCATTTTGGAACCTTCCCAAGACAAAAGGCGGAAGGAAGGTAGGAAGTGCCACCCTGTGGACACACAAAAGATAACAGTCCCTGAACAGCTGGCGATTGCCCCGGGTCTGCGCAGAGCCAGGGGGCTGGGCATT